GGTTTGCCTGTATTGTGCAGAGACTTTTTCTACAGCAAAAGAGATGAGTCTTAATATATACCTATGCATGTATTCAAGAATAGGTTTCGAATCAAAATGGCTAATAGTACTTAATTAATCATGATCAAAATTGTACGCCCGATTTTTGGGACAAGTTCACTTGAACAATTAATCTGCTCTCATTTCTCTTGGCAGTCGGTTTCACTTCACAATTGTTCTCACTATATCAGTTTGTCAAGGATAGGTTTCGAATCAAAATAGCTAATAGTACCTAATTAATAATCATGATCAAAATTGTACGCCCAATTTTTGGAACAAGTTCACTTGAACAATTTATCTGCTCTCATTTCTCTTGGCAGTCGGTTTCACTTCTCAATTGTTCTCACTATATCGGTTTGGAGTATGAATTTGACTCAAGTCAGAATGGTCTAAAAATCGTGCACTTGAAAAATATAGACAAATCCATAGGAGCCTTTAACAGGCTTCCTGAACATGAAAAACCTGAATCGAGTATTGTTATTTTAGACGAAAAACCCGATTAAATGGGCGAATAAATGGCTAGACTGGCAAGGGCAAATATTTTAGGAGTAGGTGAAATTGGTGAATTGGACAGACAGAGAAGTTTTTGAAAGGAAAAGAGGAGAGGAAACAGAAGAAAAACACATGAAAAACTCGCTGCCGTGCTGGGAAAAACACCCAATGAAAATTCTGGCATTGCAAAAATCTCGATGAAACACTAATTATCTCAAAATATTATGAACTTAGAATACACTCAATTCTTCAGCAAAATTTATTCGTCATGTGTATATTCCAGGTACATACCGTAATTGGAAAATGTGTGAGAAAACATTCATAATTTTCCTCAAATACCTATACTTTTTTGGTCGAAGGAAAGTTAGAAACGTCTGAATATTCAATATGGCGTCTTTCTTCAAAAAGACAGTAGGAAAGCACGGCCAAACTGGAGTTTCCCAGTTCGAAAAGATTGCCTAAAGTTTTACACTAGACAATTTCTGGATCAAAACCTAGGGAGACAACAATCAAGCATGGAAGGATACGCATCATAGTTGGACAGAATTGAAATCAGAAGAAAGTAAATTGAGATTTTCAGACCTGACCGTTGGAACGAAACCACTGCTCACGGATTCAAACGATGTGAGAGCTCCTTGAGAAACAACGCACCAACTCCCGGATTCAAATTCAAGTCCACGAAAGTTCTCGCGATTTACAATCCGGATAAGCTCTCTCAAAAGCGAAAACGAATTAATTCAACCGACACGAGGAGAGCAAGTGAGAACACGAGGAGACGTACGCGCTAAAAGCCATGCCGCTGGCCCAAGGTAGATTTACACAGGTATGGAAAAGTTGAAAACTTCCCATGAGCCTCAGTACGTGTCACATGACTACGTGACGTAGGTTAAGGGGCCCGTTTTTTAATTAAATTACAATCAAATTAACATTCAAACGTTTGTGCGTTTAAACGTTAAAATTAATATCGCATTATCAAAATTGTGCAAAAAATCCCACAAAATTTTGACAAACGATAAACCGAACATAATAAATCAAAATAATCAAAACATTCAAAATGGCTGACGTTAAGGGGCCGCTGGAGAGCCAATCAGAGGCCAGTTGTTAAGTTCTGTCCATACCTGTGTAAATCTACCTTGCCGCTGGCCCCTCAACAGGTACAAAACTTTTCGCAGTCCACGCGAACTAAGAAGAAACGGTCGGTAACTGAACTAATTCTGCGAAATTGAATCGGATTCACTGGTCATACGGACATATCGGCTGATACAATTAAAGAAAACTGAAGTTTTGACAGCACATTTCAACTATTCGGAAGAGCGTGATTTGATTGAGGACTGAACTGAACGCCGCCGGGTAACACATTGTCGTCTGAAGCCTTCGACCACCGACTGACTGACGCCGACTGAGAGGTGGTGGGGGGTGGTGGGTGAAAAGCCTCCGCCTCAGGTGATGTGGTAGCTCGGAGGCAGACAGAGGACACCCCCCCACTCTCCCATAGTATTGGCGCGTGGTGCTTCTGATTTGATTTTTGGCAGATTCTCATCTCTCTTCCCTCCAATTCATTACATTGTCTCAGGAAGCAAGAGATAAGCAATTTGCCGCTTTTACTGTTCACTCGTCAGATCAGATTTGGGGGAGAGGGAAGGAGTCTACCTGCCTCTGTTGCCAAATTTGCCATGCTTACACTTGGTAATAACAGGAGATACAATAAATATTATTAATATTTTGTAGTATTCTCCTAAATTAAATTATTTATACCCCTATATAATACAACTGTTAAAATAATCTCGCAAATCTTGAAGAGGCAACTCTTTTTAAGTTACTTTTTCAAACGCTCTGTCAAAATATTTCCGTATACAAAACCCTTTTTCGACTGTGCAACTGCAGAAATGCGTAACTCGGTTTGCGGCGTTGCAGATTTCCTGTCATACTTCATTTTCTACGTAGAATACTACAGAGCGTCATTTTTTGATAATTTGTCTACTTAGAGGGGGGCTCGGGGGGCCTCCCGCAGAAATTTTTTGAAAATTAGAACGTCTTGGGAGCAATTTAAAGCCATTCTCAATGACAAATTAAATATTACAGATGACAGAAATTTTGCTGACTTGTTTTTAAAAATATCATACCTAACTATGGGTTTTAATTGAATACGTCTTAATTTAACTCTCACGAAAACAAGTATTGCGCTTACTCGGAGAAAGCTGCTCTCTTTGCAAGTAATTTTCATTTTTCTGTCATCTGTGATCGATTAAGTACATTAGGATTAAGCCCATATTTATTACATTCCATAATGCCTTTTACCTCAAAGTTAATTAGTAGCTTGGGTCCGTGAAATTTTTGGAAGGGGCCGAGCAGCATTTCGGGGGGGGGCGGCCCCAGCCCGGCCCCCCCTTTTTCCGCCCATGAGTTTAGATAAAGTTAAATTTAAGTGAAGAAAGGTCTCGAATGATTCCTACCCTGCGCTGGGCATGTAATTTTTTACACGCATAAAATTTATGATAAAGTAGTTTCTGAAATCATAATTTTTAACACTTTTTGCACAGTTTTTGAGAAGTTCCTTAACGGTGCGCGGTGGTCGTTAGTGTAACTAGGATAACTGGATAGGTACTCAAATTGATTTTCTTTTTTTTAGAGTTGGGATGTTATTCATGCCTCACAAAGACTCGTAAACTCTGGAGTAGAGAACCATGGTTCTAGCTTGGCTTGGGCTTGGCCGGATGTATGTATATACTACCTATCAACATTGGCATGACCATGGGCGTAGCAATTCAAGGGGCATGGGAGGCCTGGCCCCCTAAACTCTTAAATAGTATCAGTTGCCCTCCCCCGAAAAAAATTGGACTTCTGATGTAAGTCTGAATTCTTTTGCTACGCAATGCAAAACGAGGAAAATTACTTAACAAATTCATTAAACACAAAATGCACGCACAAATTTTATGAACATTTTCGTTGGAGTAACCTGCAAATGAATCTAAAAGGTAGTCAATTTTTTAAAATTTTCCGGAGAAGGCCCCGCGCACTACCTTCGTACAGTGGGATATTTTATACCCCCCCCCCCCC